AGTGCCGGGGGGAAGCCAGGGGTAGGGAGGGCAGAGGAGAGAGGAGGAAGGGGCTAAAATAGCGCATGTGCCACAGAAGGACCCATTTTCCAGGGTGTGTGCCCACAGGTGAAAGAGGTTCTTAGCACAGCTGGATGCTGCTTTCAGATTCTGAGGGGTACAAGCCAGGATTTCATAGGCGAGGGGGCCTTAGATCCCGGCGCCCTTCTAGCTGACACCCACACAATTTGGCCACAGGCCTGGGCTTCCAAGGGGACAGGAATGATGAAGGAGACCAGGCCTCAGGCCAGGACCTTTCCCATAAGTGCCTAGTGCTACTCCCCCGCCTCTACCCACCACTCCTAAGGTGGAGGAAACCAGCGGGTGGGTGGAGGGGTTTACAGCCGGCTCAGGTGTCCCCAGATTGGTCTGAAAATGGCCAGCTCAGGCCCCACCTCACCTTTCCTTCTAGTGGCTGGTGGGCTTCAGCTTCTTCCTGTTCCCTGGAGCTTCATTTTCTCTGCGGAGCCGCTATCGCCCTCAGCACATCTTCTTTGGCGCCTCCATCTTCCTCCTCTCTGTGGGCACAGCCCTGCTGGGCCTGAAGGAGGCACTGCTGTTTAAACTTGGGTGAGTGTCCGGCCCCCTGGACCCCTCACAGTGGTTTTCTCTCTGGGTGGGGGTTGGAAGGGCTGGGGTTGGACCCAGGCATCTTTCTGGCTCAGGTGTGAAAGGCATGTGGCCAAATGGTGACCCCGTGGGTGGCTTCCCCCTTCTACCTGACCCTGCAGGGCCAAGTACAGCACGTTCGAGCCCGAGGGTGTCCTGGCCAACGTGCTGGGCCTGTTGCTGGCTGGCTTCGCGCTGGTCGTGCTCTATATCTTGACCCGGGCAGACTGGAAGCGGCCCCCCCAGGCCGAAGAACAAGCGCTCTCCATGGACTTCAAGACGCTGACGGAGGGCGACAGCCCCGGCTCCCAGTGACAGGCTCTCTGGTCCTGCGGGGATGGAGGGGCTTGGCTGTGGGGCTTCCTCAGGTTCGGTTCTGACAGGTGTCTCTGTATAGCCTCGAGGCTGCCTTCAGGATTCCTGGCTCCTGGGATGCTGGGGGAGGGGGTGAGGAGTGTAGGGACAGTGTGCCTCTTGGAGCAATGATTTCTGGGGTGTAGGGCTTGGCTGCCTCTGCTTCCCCCTCCTTGCTGCTGCTTTAGTGTCTTGTTAGTCATGCGCAGACCCTGCCCCTGTTGTCCCCATCACCCCCTCAAATGGAGCTTAGGGTAGGTGTTTGGGTGGTCAGGCCTGGTTGCTGAAGCTCAGGCCCTTAAAGGAGACGGAGAGCGGCTCCCCCACTCTAGGCCAAGTCCTAGGGTTGTGGGAGAAACCTGGGCCTCAGCGACAGGCCTGGCAAAGCCAGGGCTTGCTTTGTGTAACTGAATTCAAACTAGGAGTCCCGCTAGCCTGGGTGACACGTGGTCTGAATGGGTCTGGCCCTTGGCAGAGGAGCAAGTGATATTATGTGTAAACTATGTTGGTGTTCAGAGTGGGACCCCCCTGGAGAGGGGAGGGACTGGCCCCTGGGAAGCTCCAGAGATGTGGCTTTGGCCCAACTGTGCACTTGAGCCTTCCCTTTCTTTAACTCCTTAGCCCCAGAATGGCTTTGCTGGGAGAGGGGATGGGATACAGGACTTCAGACAGACCTACCCCTTGGCAGCTGAGGGCAGCTGAGGAGGGAAGAGGAAGGAGATGCCCCCTGCGTAGGCTGTTGGGTGGGGCTTACCTTGCAGCTCAGCCTGTAGCTCCCATTGTCCCCGTCCTCACGAGCCAGCTCTGACCAGAGGCTGAGGGCACCTTTTTTATAAAAAAGGAAAAGCTGCTACTCCTGTCCCCTTTCCCCTTCGATGGGGAAGATGGGGGCTGCCTGCTTCTGTTAGGACAGCCTCACCTGCCCTTACCTTCCAGGCCCATCTCTGCAGGAAGCTGGGGCCGAGTCGGAATCACATTAATCCCCGACCCCATATGTGTGTTATGTTGTTCGCTGAGTCACTGCTTGGCGTCAGTTTAGAAATAACGTGATTAGAACATGGATCTTGTGCTTCTTGGACTTGGCGAGTGCTCTCTCCTTGTTTTGTTCATTTTCTGGGCTTTGAGGAGCATGACACAGTTTGAGACAGACACAGTTTACTTAAATGAAGAAATTAATAACATTTCCAAATCTATCGTGTTGTTTTTTTAACGGTTGCCTTCTTCACAGCTACATGCTGCCTTAGAGAAAGGGGCTAGTCTCCTGTACTGCTCAGATTTCTAATACTCTGCGTTTGCCGTGGGTCCTGCTTCAGCAATTCCACTTCTCAGCAGGTGGCTGTGGTCCAGTGGCTTCCCCTGCAGGGCTGCCCAGGCCCATCCCCTCCCATCTCCCCAGCAGCTTGCCTGGATGAGGGTGTTGGCCCGTTTAGATTGGGCGCTCTGCAGGGGGTGGGGTGGGCGTCATCAATTCTTTCATCACCTGGCACACGCTTGTGTCATCAAATGTTTACATGTAAGAAAACTCCACCTTAGACAAATTACCAAAGGAAACTGTATCTCCCCTGCACTAATGCTATACAGAGAAACAGAACTTCGGATTTGCAAGAAAAGTCTGTAAACCAGTCTGTTTGCCAAAGTGTATTTTGGGTGATTAAGGAGCCAAAAAACCCCCGAAAGCTGATCCATGGTGGTTTATATTATCTTGCCTGTGGCCTGTCTTTTGTGAAATACAATGTAGTGTTGATGCAACAGGTGATTTAATAAATGTCTACAGCAGATGTCTCACCTTTTACCGTCATTTATTGTGACAATAGAAGGAGCCAGTGCTTTTAGCAGAGTGAGGTACATGAAGGTAGTTCTGTGGGGGTGGAGAGAAATAGAATATCCCCAGGCTGGGCACAGAGGGTAAGAGACTAGTGATATCGATCAGCACAGGCTCTGAAACAGCCTATAACTGTCCGGTCTCTGGACCGGTGGGGAGGCTCTTCCACGTGGTTAGAGAAACCCTTTTCTCACCCCCAAGAGAATGGCCTGGACGGTGAAGCTGTAGGGCCTTGGCAAGAAGTTTCTCCCAGTATTTCATTAACCATTTGCTTCTTAAAATATGTCTCTTTTATTCCTTAAGAGGAGGAGCAAACTTTGAGAACAAGCCGAGGTTCCACTTGAGATCCATTCGTAAGGTTCAGCAGATGTGTTTATGGGAACGCTGGGAGGGATCTCACCGGACACACCCTGTGCTCCTGAAAAGCGCTGCACTTAAAATGACTCCAAAACTTAGCCAGGGGGCCCACTCTTTACCGGGATCCTACAGCAAATCCTCCGATTCGGTAAAGAATCTTCCTAACATTTCCTTTATTTCAGTGTGGTGTCTGGTTTCTAACATGAGCCAGAGCTGGAGAGGTCTTTGCTTTATGCATCTATAGAGTCTTTCTCCTGAATAGAGGCTTCTATGTGGATCTTCATTTGCTCAAAAGCGTGCAAATCACGGTGCTCAACACATCACAGCTAATCTCAGTCAAGGTCAGGGCCACTGGCTCTCTGGGCGAGGGCAGGGCACCTTGACTGTGAGTGTGCCGTCCCCCTCTGACCTTTGTGAGAGCCTCTGAGTCTTAAGGGTTTCTGTGTCTGTGAACATTCAAACGATCCTGGACAGGATGACGCATCTCCCTCCAGAGTGTTACTCCTGCACCTTCTCACGGGGTTTGGAACCCCTAGAGGTGCCAATGTGATTCATCTTGACCTTGGCTCAGTTGTTTCTCCAAAGGAGCATGAAGTAGGATTTTCCAAGCTTCCGTCTTGACCCGCTGCCTGCTCCTTCGCTATTGTTCAGGTTGGTTGCTCCTCTTGGTTAGCCCTTCTGAGGAGGGGGCAGCACAGCACAGGGGAAACCGCAGGCAGGTCTGATTCAGTCCCACCCTTGCCCGTGTCAAGCAATATAAGCTCTTGGGATCCACTTCCTTATTTGCGTTTTGGAGAGAACGATGCCATCTGTCAGAGGTTATGTGAGGAAAAAATCAGAGACCACATGCCAAGTCCCTACCACAGTGTCAGGGACATAACGGGCATCTTGAGAACAGCTCATCAGAATGGACTCAGAGCACTGTCTCTTCTGTGGGACCTACTTCCCTTTTTATCCTGGGGCCTTCCAGACACAATACACTTGCGATGAATGCCCCATCCTTGTTCCTGGAAACAGAAGGACTGTTTCCAAATTTCTCCAGACTCCTCCAGCTTCCATTTTTAAAGCTGAAAGAGGATGACCGCCGCCCCTCAGTCTGTGCCTGTGGAAGGGGGTCTGGTTACCTCTTGCCCGAGCTCAGCAGCACAACAGTGCATGGAGCCACAAGGAGGTGAAGGGCGCCTGCCAGGGAATGGAAATAACTAGGGGAAGACGGCCTGATGGGGGACTTCTAGGACACCACAACGAACTTGTTTTGCTGTTTGCCACTGCTATTTTTTTAGTCAGGTTCAGGGAAAATTCCTTTCTAAGAATTAGCTTTTTAGGAATCACTACCTTTCATCTTTCTTCCAATGCCCCAGGAATCCCTAAAAATCACTTTTGGGGGGCGGGGTGTCAATCACTTACCCATTTTTGATTTTTAATGAGCTAACAGGAGCTGCCAGGGAGTGGTTTTCAGATAAAGCACGTGATTCCTTCTGGAGTCCTCTCCTCTTCAAACAGCTCTGGTGTCCAGGCTGGGAGGGCTGTGCTACCTGGAGTGCTGCTGCTTCCAGCTTTGGTCGTTTGGGGTGTGTGGGGGGGGATGGATGTGGTTACCCAGCAGGCATGTTTGTTCAGCACAATCTGGAGTCTACAGGAAGTGGTCTCCTTCCTTGCTTGTCCCTGAAGTAAACAGAGGTAGCAGCTAGGCAGGAAAGGTGGCAGGATTCAGTGCTGGACACTTTAAACAAGATATCGAGTCTCCAGCCAGTTTCAGGAAATCTGTACTCTCCCTTCACAATGCAGCTGCCTAGCTCTCTACATGGCAGGGCTGGAATTTCCGGCCAGATCTCTGAAGGAAATATAAAGCAGTGGGCTTCCAGCACTGACCGTTAGCCTTGGGAACTACAGCTAGGGCTGCCCCCCACTCTTGGGCATACAATCTCTAAACCCAACAGCTCTAACTGGCAGTCCACCTCAGCCTTGGGTTGTGCTATGGAAGCTGGACTGGGTGCAGCTTCTGCTACTCAAATGAAACTAGAGGTCAGTACACCCTTGGTGTGGCTGGAGACAAACTCTTCCAGTGAAGAAAATGCCTCCCTTTCTCAACTGCAGTGAGCCTCGCTGATAGGCCTTCAGGCTTTCATGTCCGTAGTTCTCAAGTGCCTATGACAGTGTCCAGCTCTGAGGAGGTGCTCAATCACTTCAATGAGTGAACAAAGCCTGAAGGGGTGAGTCTGTATGTCCCACAAGAGACCAACCAAATCATCATGTATTTGGCCTTCACCTTAACCTGCCAAAGTCATCCTCGGGGCGCTTCCTCGGCACCGCAGGCCTCAGTGAGGGTTAGCAAGAGCCAGCTCCCTGGAGAGGTATTGTAACGGAAGGAGAAAGCACCACAACGCCATGTTTTTCCAAGTGTTACCCATTTATAAATAAGTACATTTGCTTTCATACATACAGTTCATTTTACAGATGGCGATCTGTATACATGGGCAGGAAAATGCATTCACTTAACTTTTCACATCTATCTCACACAGCTCACATGTACAGACAATATAACTGCTCAAGCAAGTACAGCAAAGGAAAATGCCTTTCCTTATACACAGGGGGCTAGATGCCTCTGTTGGGTGTGGGGCATCCCCACAGCACGAGTTCACAACTGTGTGGTGTTCAATATATCAGGATCGAGAACAAACATGCACTGGATAATATACTGTACAGAGAGTCCTTTACATCTGAGTATAGAAAACCTAAAGGAAAACCAAGTGCATTAAAGCTTTTTCCAGCAAGTGTCTTGAAAGGACAGCAAAGAGGAAGAATCAAAATCATATTAGTACAAATCACTCTTTAATTGTAGACTGTACATGTCTGTACTAATTAAAATCATCCTGGATTTGGAGGAGACAGAACAGAGACAAAGATGCTGTGCTATATGGAAGGGAGGCCATGCCTGAGAACGGCACCTGCCCTGAGCCTGACGAGGAACCGGCCCCACTCAGCAGGAATCAGCCGAAGGAAAAACAAGACAAAACGAAGAAACCACCGGAACAGGAGGTGTAACTTACAGACTTCCAAAATAACCGCCAATGAAGTGGAGATCTGGAGCCAGCATGTCTAACTTTTTTTTTCCAGTTTAGTTGGTACACAATAAGGCAGGTACGTTCAAGTACTGAGTTTTCCAGAATTGATTCTCTGTCTGGTCCCGGGGGGCAGAAGGGATTGAGTCTAGTCCCCCTAATGAGGTGTTCTGGCTAATGATTAGGCAAAAGAAAAATCCAGCTGGCAAGTGCTAGAGAAACAAAGCAACTAGGCTCCTTCCTTTCCACAGAGTAGGTCTGTCTGAAAAAACACAAGTGATGCTGGGCTGCATCTATACGCATCCAGCTAAAACCTGACAGGTCAGCTTAGTGGAGAGATCAGAGTCAGCAGGAAAAATGAGATGATATGGGTGAGGAAACATGAAAGTAACACTTGATTTTTGGTGTCCAATTATGCGTTCATTTGGTACTGACTTTCAAAGCTCTGACTGTGGCCATCACGTGGCCACAAGCATCTCAGGGTGGTTCAGCTGCTGTGAGGCATTGGACACCGAAATGCAGGTTACCAACACTTCAGCCCTTGAGTGGTCTGTTATAAAAGGAGTTGATGAAGACCCAGTGGTGATTCAAGTAGCTCTGCACATGGCTCCACCAGCCCCGTTGTGCTTGTGTCCAGGCTCCCAGCCAGCCACCTTCTTGGGAGCAGCCAGAGCTGAGTTCAAGGCATTGCATGGTGAAGGTTCCATGACACGTCTTTGTAGGTAGCTCTTACCCTAAGCCCTTTGTTCACTGTTAGTCATGGTGGATGGTCAGTGGGATTCCTAAAGGAAAAGGAGAAAAAGCCACACCTCCCACAGCACACAACGGGGCAGCCCAGGGACAGACAGGCAGGGCCGGGGAGGCTGGGACAGGGGTAGGTACATCCTGACACCCCCCCCCCAGGAAGCCTGTTCCATTTTGTAGCAGATTCAGAGACCACCTGGTTTTGTCCAAGGCATTTCTGCAGTAGAAAAATAACTATCTTTGAATCAAACCATCCACTGTGACCCCTCTGGAGTTATAAAAATTGGAGGCGAAGAGGAAGGGAGACGGGTGCTCATGGGGAAGAAAGGGTCCTGTGTACCCATCCACCCACCAGAGCAAGGGAGTTCTAGTCGGCCTCCTCCCAGCCCCTGCCTGGCTGGAGGTCCAAAGAGCTCATCCTCATAAGTGGCACAGATGTGTGAAGACCCCATTCCAGACCTTTGCGCTCTCCTTCCTGAACCCTCAGAACCTAGGGCCTGCCTGCTGCCCTGGAAGCAGCCCTTCAAGAGGAGATCCTGCCCTTCTTTGCTACCAGACAAGCCTGGTGCAGAGCCACAGTGACACCTAGTGGTAAAGTGTGGTGAAGCAAGTTGACGTCCACAGAACCCAATGTCTATGACTAAAATCTAAGGAAAATACTTAAGGATATTAAATTAGATACTGATTAATTTTTCTATTGGGTACATCTCTGGAATACAAAAATACCAATATTTAGAGAGGGATTCATAAACTACTATACAATATAAGGACTGAGAATACCTTTCTCTAAGCTGTTCTGTTTACGATAATTTAGGAAAAGTGTCTAGTAATCCAGGCTTAACGAAATCAGCAAAGTTGTATCTCTGGATGATGACCTGGGGTACTGTACACGATTCTAATTCATGGAATTTTCCTGAGCCTTCGAGTTTAAGTTAAACACATCTAAAGAGAGGGCACATGGGAGAGCAAGAAGGGCTTGTGCTCTATTAACTAGGGACTTTTAATAGTGCACGTCTGCAACCTGGACGAGATACAACAGCAGATACAAAATGGTCTCCATTTTGTCCATGCCAAATTCTCATGTTACACAGGTTTTCCCTTTACTTTGTAAATAAACATTAATTTTTAATTGTTAATTGTGTGCCTTACTGATCCAGTAAATAAAGTAACCATGTCTCAGGAGTCCCTAAGAGCATTGCTGGAAAAGCACTTTAAAATCACTGCAAATATTTTTTGTATTTAAAAATTCTTACTCTTTTGATGCTTATATACAAGTTATTTCTTGTGCTATAAATGTTGTGATCCACTGCTTGATTTCTTTTTCTTGAAAAATACACTAAAAGACAAGAGCGGTTTTGCTATTTTCTAATGAAGACATTACTCACACTTAAATATCCAGTATTAATTACAAATTCAAACAGTAAAGTGCACCCATTTATAGACATGATGTGATGAAAACCCATTAGTGCAAGAATTCTGGGTGAACGGAACGTACAATTTGGTGAAAAACCTATAAGCTGAAGTTTGCCACCACTGTCTCCATTCCAGGGTGATGTGAATTGGGTGAGAGGAACTTACTGGTTTCATATGAAAAATTTCCCCTCACCTGAAGCCAGACATCGATTCAGCAAATGCTGCGGGGAGAGGGGCAACTCTAAGGTACAGTACTAAGGTCATCCCATGGCAGTGGAGTAGCAAAACAGGGCACAGGCAGTCTGCTTACCAGGAAGAACTCTCCAATAGGTCCAGTTGGCATTTTGTAGTCAAGAACTGGCGCCCAGTAGTGATATTCACTCCCTCTTCCAATGGCTAAAAAGAAATGCATTCTGACAGTCAACACTGGTGTTCTGGCCAATAAGGCATAGACCCTAAAATCTCCTGTTTATCCTGGAAAACCGAGAGACCCTGGGGAGAAGTGGCATAAGTGGCATATTTATAAAACCACAGGACCTGTTCACCCACCTAGACAGGTGAGTACAGGTGTTATGTGTTGTGTTCCAAATAAGCAGGGGCACTTTTCTAATAGACACTGAGAAATTTTTCAAAATGTAGCAGCAGCTCCTCAGCGAGAGGTGATTAAAAAGGGGTAAGATGCAAAAAGCCCAATAGGATTAAAACCTGGACAAAGAGGGAGTGAGAGGCTGCCGGGCTCCCAGCTGCAGGCTGTGCTGATGTGTACATTTCATCTTCTTGAGAGACACTGATGCCTGCTCTGCTCTAGTTGAGCACAGTCCTGCAGCATCAGAGTGGGAAGAGTCTGGGTCTTGAATTAGCCCAGCTGTTCGCTTCTAGCACAGGGACAAGTCCTGGCCTATTTCAGGCTTGGGGGTGGAGGGGTCCACCTATTTGGCAGAATCTAAACTAGTAAAGAAGTGTTTCTGGTCTCAACTTCATGCTCCCCATGTTTGAGTGATGCTTTCAGAGGACACTTACTATTGCAAACTAGTCTGATCCCATCTGGATTTTTATTCAGGAAACTGCCCTTCCTGTAGCCCTTTATGATGAGCAGAGTGATTTCTAACAACAGAGAACGAATTCTCCTGTTGAGTTTGAGTTGTTTAGTATGTTAAACTTGAATAACTGATAAGCACTGAGTACCAGGCCTGTGCTAAGGCTTTGGCTTTCAGTGTTCTCGCCACCCATCCTGTGCTGGCCTCAGTCACTCAGAGGACAGCTTATCAAGCAACCATGAGACACTTGTGTGGAGGGTGCCTGGATCAGAAGACCTGCTATCTCATGTGCCTCATGCAGGCTTAAAGGGGGCCTTCTTCACCCTGAGACACTCTACAGTGCCCGGTTTTCAAATATCATTCCCTAAGCACTCCTACCTAAAAAAAAAAAAAAAAAAAAAAAAAAA